TTACCTTAAATCAGCATTAAGGCCTAGGGTTGAGGAAGCCATGTAAACTAGAGGATTAAAATAATTTAAGTTTCATGCCTCCAACTAAGAGATTGGCCAAGTGTCAATCATCAAGAATTCATATGCATCCATTGACCAAGAAGAAACCTTACTCCTCAAATATTTTTAAAAAAATAAAAAAAATAAAAAAAAACTTACCTCATAACCCTATGTCCTAATTTCAATCTTTAAAACCAAAATATTAAAAAAAAAAAAACTAAAAATAGAAAACTTCCTTTGGTCATAACCCTTTTAAGATAGTTCTTTGCAGTTGAGCATTCAATTATAACATTAACAAATATATATATATATATATATATAATGGTAGTTGGTGTAAATCAAATGTGTTTGTAATTTTCCTTTTGAATTTTGTGATAATTAGCATAATTACCCGTGATATGCACGGATATAAATAAATAATTAAAAATTAATTTTTAAAATTAAATAATAATCTAAAAAATTTATCTAGAATACTTAGTAAAAATAATTTAGAATCAATTTAATTTTACTCATTTTTATCACAGTTGCATATAAGAGATTTTTTTTTTTTAAATTCTTATGTCATTAATTGTGCACTCTAAGTTCTTAATAATAAATACATGTCATAATTTAATTGGAAAAAATTAAAAAATAAATCACAAAAATTATATTTATGATAAAATATAAATACATTTCGTCTTATGAGTTTCATAAATTTAATTTATCATATGATAGTGGTAAATTACATTTGTCAATATATTAATTTTTTCATGTTTTGTAAAGTCTAAAAATTTGTCTAGCATGAAAATTATAATTTATCTTATGTTATAAGATTTACGTAAAAATGGATTAGATTTCACTTATGATATTAAATTTAAGCTTAACATTAGATTTCGCCAATTTGTTCTTCATCTAATCTTTAAAAATTATCTTTGTCTATTCCCAACTTATATGAATCTTTTGACCTGTCTATTTATTAAATTAGTAAATGAATATTTGTAAGTATTTTTTATAATAATTAAAAATTTTGAACTTAGTTTAAAAAAATTATATATTTATGTTTAAAACAATTAAATGAATAGTTATACATATTTATGAATGAAAATATTATCTAAGATAGAGCCACCCTAAATTGGAGGTCATATTATAGTCTTATAAATTTAAATTTTATCATAACTTATCAATCCGTGACTGATAAAAGTAAATTTGAGGGGTTTTTAATATTGGATTAAACACTAAAATGTAGTTAAGAAAATTTAGTTCAATCGATTTTTCTGCCAATAATTTTTTATTTAAGCCTAATCCTTAGAGAATCGTCTAGTTTATGTCCAATCCATGAGTTAGTAGACCCGCCTATTTATTTAATTTTTAATTAGTAAATATAATTTTCAAAAAAATATAACAAAAATAGGAATTATGTACATATTTGTTTGGTATATTTTTTAACAATTTTAAAATTAATTAAGAAATTATGTAATTATTCTTAAAATAATAAATTACACCTTATATTTTAACTCGTGTTATTTTTGTCATTTCAATTTTAATTTGCTCGATTTTGATTCTGAATTTATAATTTTGTCTCAATTTGGTCTAATTGTTATAATTGCTAGTGTTTTTTTTATTGAAAATACACACATGAATAGCATCTGTTATAATTTTATAAATAAAATTATAAATTTATTCAACTCAGTAAATTAATGTCAACCAACTCAATAACTACTTTATTTTAAAAGCCTTAACCGACATTATCAATTGAACCAAATTGATACAAAATCTAAAATTAATGGTCAAAATCAAGCTAATTAAAAATGCAAAGATCAAATTGACATAAGAGACAAAATGCGATGACTATCGATATAATTTACCCTTCTCAAAATATGTCTAATATAGCAATATTAAGATTTATTTATATCTGAAAAACTATTTAGGACCAGATCAGGCTAAAACTTGAATAAAAAATCGATGGCTTATCAAAAATATTTAATAATTATAAATCCAAATTTGATCAATTTTTCATTTAATTTTTTCCGTAATAGAATTAGGTTGTTTGATAATTATAATTTATAGTTCCAATTTTTCTTTGTATTTTTTTAAAAATATTGTAAAATTATATATAATTATAATTTCTTTTGGAACTTTCCTTTCAATCTCAAATTAGTTATAACCTGAATTATATATAATTTATTTTTGACTTCTCATCTACAAAAACTAACAATGAACATAAATTATTTTTTGAACATTGTAAAAAATAAATAAAGAAATATATTATCAATAATAATAATAACAAAACATGTTTTTATTTATCATGTGACATCTCATCACTATATTGATAATAGAAATTAATAATAAAACTCATTACAATAATATAGTAATAATATATCAAATGATAAATAATATGTGATCACAATAATTTTTTATAGCTATGCAAAAGTTTCAAAATGATATATAAAAAAACAATATACGATCCATATTCAATTTTTATATAGTAAAATTCACACTTAATCTCAATCACACATTCGTTTTCTAAATTAATTCGTCACCCAAACTATCTATTATTCTTTTAAGTAATATTCACCTTTTTAAAACTTACCCAAACATACTCTGACCGAGCTCATCATCATCGTTGTTGTTGCTATGCTCACCACCTCTACTAACTACTATGTAACTCCAGTATAGTTTTTTATCTTTGCAAATTTAAAAAGACAATATTGGGAAAATAAAAAGGTACCGTTACAGTTTTAAAGAGTTGAAAATAAAAAATGAAAAAAATATGTGGTTTTAGTTTTTCTTATTCCATATATGGGTGATAATTTTTTTTTTTAAATCCATAAATTACGGAACAGTGTTCATCATTTAAAATTTTATTTATTGATTGGTAAGTCAATTAAATGTTTTTAATTTTTTACAAATAAAAAAATTTGAAAATTTTGTTTAAGAAATTAAAAAAATGGCCAAATCATAAAGAACAATATTATAGACACCCTATTTTTGACGGCCCTTTAAGACTTGGATGTTCGTGCAGGTACATCCGATGGCGAGTCTGATTGCTCACCGATAGGAATGGCAACGGGCCGGGACGAGGCCGGGGATCACACTCCCCGTCCCCGATCCCCGATGGTAGAAATTTCCCTGTCCCCGGTCCCGATCCCCGACGGGGAGCCTATCACCACCCCTGCCCCTATCCCCCAACGGGGATCGGGTTTTCCCGACCCCGATAATTCCCCGGCTAAAATTAAATAAATAAAAAAAAACAACAACAACATAAACATCCAACAACAACAAATCTGAGCACACACTCATCAACAACAACAACATCATCAATAGATCATATATTCATCAAATGTAAAAAAATAAAAAATAAAAAATCTAACACATCATTTTCTTCATCTTTATTAGATTTGAGCTCAAATGGATGAGGCGATAGAAGCGACGGAATGGAGGGACGACAGCGATCGGAGGGAGGCAGAGAGATCGTCGTGAGGCAGATCGGGAGGGAGAGAGATCGGAGTGAGATCGAAAGGAGGGAGAAAGATCGGAATGAGATCGGAAGGAGGGAGAGAGATCGGCGTGAGGCAGATCGGAGGGAGGCAGTGATGGAGGTCGGGGTGAGGCAGTGAGGTCGGAAGGAGGTAGATCGGAAGGAGAGAGATCGGAAAGAGGGAGGGAGATCGGAGGGAGGCGAGGGTTTTAGAGAGAGAGAGAGAGAAGAGAGAGAGAGACTAAAACTGAGTCAGAATAATTGGTAATAGTGGTACATCTTCATTAGGAAACATATATATATATATATATATATAGGGAGGGTTATAACTGTAATTTCCTATCGGGGTAAACGGGGACGGGGCTGGGGTCGGGACGGGTCCGGGGCTGGGAAAGGTATCATTGTCCCCGGCCCGAAAATGATTGGGGATTTATTTTTTAATACCATCCCTGGCCCCGGAGAGTTTTTTTCGGGAAAAAACCGTTCCATTCGGGGTCGGGGGGTCCGGTCCCCATCGGGCCGGTTTCAAATTGCCATCCCTACGCACCAAACGCTCGAAGTCCGCAGCAGAACGTCACATGTTTGAGTTTTCCAAACCCTACATCCTTCTTGCTTCATTTTTGGACCATTCTTAGGTCTTTTCAGCATGAGGATGTTGATGGCCTGCCGGCTATTGATGTGCTTGCCGGCCATCAATGAAGCCTTTCCGGCCATCAGTGTTTCCAGTAGATATTTTATGATATTTTGTGCCAGCTGTATGCACAGGTTCATGCATCTTCTAACACGTGTGTGGGTGGATCTTTGTGAAGGGAATTTGCATCTTCTATATATATGATCCCTCTTTTGCATGTGAGGGGGTTAGAAAATTTGAAGACAAAAAAATTCTCTCTCTCTCTAGATTTCTCTCTCTCTCTTGTTATTTTGTGCTTTAAAGTCTAGTTTCTCTACACTTTTGCACATGAACCCTTGATCAAACTTGACTACCTCGGAGTTGAGCTAGGTTTTAAAAATCGGACCGGTGAGTAAACCGAAAAAATAATCGGGTGGACGGGCAGTTGAACTGGATCGAACCGTGCCGTCATAATTATGTCATAAATAATTTTTTAAAAAATATAAATTAACAATATAAATATTCAATATTCATTTTTTTTTTAAAAAAAAAATTCTTAAATATTTTTAGTGATGTTTTCCTATATTTTAAAAAAAAAATTCCTAAATACAAGCCATAACACTTGACATACTAACAACAAATAAAATTAAAGATGAAAATTTAGCTGTTAAAAACAACAATCATAATAATAAAAATTATGAAAGCATTCAACTAAAGTAATCCATAAAACATAAGTTAACAAAAAGACAAAAGTAAGTCCAAAGTGTACCGACATAAAACATAAATCTCAAGTAACAAATGTAAAAAGATGTTTACAACATGACATCATTCTTAAAAATAAAAATAAAAATCAACACAACACAACACAACATCACAAACAATCTTTGATTTTTGCCTAAATCTCCTAGGGACGATAATTTAGCCAATCATCATCATCATTCTCATTCGCATTTGCACTAGAGCTCGGATTGTTTGATCTATTATCAATGTTCACGTCACCAAAAGATCCCAAGTCGATATCATCTCCAAGAAGTTCTACCTCCATATCATCCTCAACATCATCTACAATAGTTAAAATAAAATCATTAAGCTATCATTTTGATAATGATAGATAAAAAAGATTGTTGCATAATGATGAAACATTATTTTCTAACCATCTCGTAGACCATGACATTGCTTCTTATATCGTGGAGGCTCATCTTCTTCATAAAGCATTTTTTCGAGCTCATCATAATCAAGCAATGGAGGCTCCTCTTGTTCTAGTCTTTTTTCTTCAATAATCCAAAACTCGGTTTTGTCAATGCTTTCAATGTCAATGGGATCATAATTCCTTGTTTTGTAATCCCTCCTATATTGATTCAATTGTAAGACTAAATAAATGAATAAAACAAAGAATCCATTAGTTACTATATGAGAAGGATTAATTTACCTATTCTTCAATCGCAAGTTGTAATGAACATACACAAGATCATTAAGCCTATGATGTTCTAGTCTATTTCTCTTCCTTGTATGTATGCGTTCAAAAACGCTCAAATTCCTTTCACACCCAGAAGAGCTGCTAGTTTGACTAAGAATTCGAATGGCCAACTTTTGCAAATTTGGAGCACTATGTCCAAAAATCTTCTACCATTCATCTTATTATCAAGAAAGAAAGGAAAATATTATAAAGAATAAAAAATAAAAAGAAACAAGAAATAGATAAATGAGATAAAATATTCCAATCAAAATCAAATAATAATGATAATTACTATTAAAAAAAAAGAAGAGCGATTACCAGGCTGTGTTTTCTTAGATATAGTAAAGGCAAGCTCTTTTCCAGAACTATCTTGTCGATCTCGAAACAATCTAAGTTCATTCATGAGCTTAGTTTTACTTGATGTGGCTTTAGTTTCAATTACATCAAGTACATTATTCATAGCCTCTGGCTTTTTGCAAAATGAAGCTTTATCATATTGAAAAGTTGGGTTCAACCAATAAGCTGCTGCATGTATATTCTTCTGCAATTGATTATCCCAACGAGTTTTAATGATTGTTGTGTAAGGCCTATACAACCTCTTATTTCTCTTGAAAATATCTGTAATACCTTTGATTGCCCTATACATGCCTTCATAAACATATCCCATGGACGGTTTCTCATCTCCATCAACAATACGCAAAAGACGCATAAGTGGCTTAACAATCTTAACAATGATAAAGCAATCCTTCCAAAATAGTTTATCTAAAATGATATCAATGGCATTCTTTCCTTTATTCTCTTTTGCAAACCTTGAACTTGCAAACTCCTTACTTGTCACCAAAGCTTGCAAATCATGCATATGCTCATGAATGCTATGCAATGCAAGGAAAGTAGTGGCAAAGCGCGTTGCTCCTGGGTGCACAATTTCAGTCCAACTCTTCTTCTTTCTCAACCAAGCTAATAACCATGACCGGTTATATATGTATTTTGTCACCGTTGATGTCTTAATAGCAAGCTCATGCACATGATTCATCTTGGAAATTTCACTTAAGATTAAGTTCAAGCAATGAGCTGAACATGGAGACCAATTTATAGATTTGTAAGTTGCATTTGCAAGTCCTCCAACAGCTTTATAATTTTCTCCATTATCTGTCACCATATGAACAACATTCGACACTCTGACCCACTCAATAACCTTTAGAAACAATTTAGAAAGAAGAGTAGCATCTTTGACAGCATTAGAGGCATCAATTGATGCAATTCCCATAGGGCTATACACAAGAAAATTTATTAGATTTCTTTATCTACCATCAATCCAACCATCACCCATAATAGTACATCCACACGTAGCCCACAAACTCTTCAAAGTGTCAATATACAATTGAAGCTCTTTTTTTGAGTCTCTCAATAAAGGAACTCGAAGTTGATGGTAAGTAGGGACCTTATATCTTGGACCAATAGCAATTGTGGCATCAAACATGGGCTAAAAATAAATGGAGTTCACAGCATTGATTGGAATACAAGTATCATAAAAGAATTTTCCAACAATCATATGTGCTCTATGTATGGCTTCTTTAGTTTGGAGGGCACTTTTGATAGTTGGTTGTGAACCTGGAGTGGTCCTTGCTGCAAAATAATCACCGATTTTTGTTGGTTCATGTTTCTTTCCCTTCCCTTTATGTGTCATTGGTGCTCTACTCTTATTCCCACTTCCAGCTCCTTCATTGATTGAAATGCCCTTATTGTTCCGAGGAATAGTTTCCACAACCTCATCAGCCTCATCATCAACATTAACGTAAACATCATCACCCTCAAATTGAAAACCACCTGGACCATAAGGATTTAATTCATCATAATTTTCTGCACTTTGCTTCTTCTTTTCATCAAATGCTTTCAAAGACTCATGCATTTGATACTGAATATCTGGGGGAACTTTTTTACATGGACCAACCTCACCCGACTTCTTTGCAAGATGTTGCTTCATTCTATTAATCCCTCCACCTTTAATAGTTTTTCCACAATACATACATGAGTAAGTCTTCTTCCCATTGGCATCTCGTCCCTCAATAACATGTGCCCATGCAATATCAGATTTTCCCCTTGTGGCTTGAGTGGAATTAGCTATTGAATAAGTATTCCTACCTCAAGAGCTTTTACAAACTATGCTCAAGATTAGCTTAAAAATAGTGACCACCAAGCAAGAACCCTCTCCTCTCCCTCTTTTTTTTTTCTTTTTTTTCCTCTTTCTTTTTCCCTTACTCAGTCGTGTGTGTAGGAATAGAGGGGTTGAAATAGTGCTCTATTTGTAAGAGTTTGGAGGCAACATATTTTTATTTATTTATTTATTTGTGGTAATTTTTTTTTTTTTTTTTGACTTGGGAAGCATTATCTACATACTATCTGAATTCTTGTCATTGCTATTCCTAGAGTACTTAACGTTACACTTTTTATGCATCATGTTTTTGTTTTTTTTTTTTTTTTTGTGATGGTAACAAGATGGTCGCCAAAAAAAATGTTAGGATTTTTCTTTGTTTTTTGTGACGGCAAAATAATGGTCGCCAGAAGTAGTTTAGACAGTCACAAATAATTTTCAACCGTTGCTTTGCCGTCGCAAAAAGTATTTGCCGTCCCTACATTCGTGAACACCATTTGCCGCTGCATGGGCCATCGCAAAAGGACTTTTACGACTATATTTTTATTATTTGTGATGGCTTGTAAAATGAAATTCCTAACTACTCTCTTATTGTAGACACCCCATTTTTAACCGTCCTCAAGACTTGGATGTCATCGTTTGTGTACTCGATGATTGTCTTTGTTTGTGTTCGTCTTGACCGCCCGAAGTCTTTGGCGAAACGCCTTGTCTTTGAGCCTCTAAACCTTATCTGTTTTGTGCATGTTTTTGGACCAAGAGCTTGTTGCCTCTTGCCTGGAGGAGAGGGTGGCATGTTGGCCAGGCCTAGGATCTGTCGGCCATGACTTGTGCCTGTAGGCCACCAGTGGTGGCTGACGGCCATTAGTCCCTTTTTCTAGATATTTGTTTACCAGTTGTGTCAGCTATTGCTCACTGAGCTACATCTTCATACACATATATGGTAAGATGTATACAAGCTTTAACTTTGATTTTCTATATATAGGGGGTGCTCTCCCCTATTTGGAGGGGTTAGAAATTTTGGAACAAAATTCTCTCTCTCTCTCTCTCTCTCTCTTCTAATTTTGTGCCTTAAAGTCTAGTTTCTCTACACCTTTGCACATCAAGCCTTAACCAAACACTCTCACCTTTGAGCTGAGGTTCTTTGAAGTTTAGTTTGAGCTCTTGAAGGAGGTTCTCGCTAGAATTTGGGACTGTTTTGTGTTTGAGCTTCAAGAGGTAGTTCACTTGCTTAGTGTACTTGCTTTGGCTACTTATTTTACCACCATTTTGTATTGTTTTTAAGCTGGTTTTCAACTACAAAAAACTCTATTTTTTGAGGCTTAACAGGATGGTTTGAGGCTATTTTGTGTTAAGGGTTGATCCACCCTTCTTGTTGCTTAATTGTGTAGACTTTTGCACCATCTTTTAGCATATTCAAATCAAACGTTTTGGGCCTTTAAACCACTGAAATTTAGAGTTATTTCAGTGACAAAAACCTTCTTTTGAAGTCCAAAATTGGAGGGGGTAGCCTCCCCTCCTTGTTGTCTTGCTTGCATGCCTAGTTGTCTCATAAGTTAGCATGTTTTTGTAGCCTATCTTAGCCTATTTCCAGCATGTTTTTACCTCTAATTTGGGCTGCTTTGCCTCTATTTTGGGCTGTTTGTGTTGTATGAGTAGTATTTTGCATAGTTGTAGTGTAAAGGGCTTCACTAGTTTAGTATTTTAGGCCTTTAAACATGAATTGCTTAAGTTGCTTACATGTTGTGGTGCTATTTTGCATGTGATTTCAGCATCATAAGCTTTGTCATATACTCCTTTGTTTCACTCTTTCATTCTTTTTGAAAGTGGCTTTAAACCCCTTTATTGGCTTAAGTGTGAAATTGAGACATTCACGCTTAATGGTTTAATCCCCTCGGGGGTTCATTGTCAACAGCATGAGGTCTCTTTCATGCTCAAGGCCCTCGTGGTTTAAGCTCACTTTCTATTAGAGGACACTCACTTTTGGACTAATCAATTAAAGAATGGATTGGTAATTTAAAATGACTAAACAAAAATGAACAAGTGAAAGAGGCAAGATAAAGCATCTTTCGTGTTACATTGCACGTGTTCGGATCGGACGTTAATTCGAACACGAGAAAAATGGGATGTTTCATACTCAAAGTGATGAAATGAGCCAATCTCCTTGGTCTCCATTGCCCTTGATCACACATGATAGGGTGATGGTCTTAAGTCTTTTTTAACATACAATGAGATTGTATTCCTTGGTTCTTTGGCCATCATGCACAAATTGCTTGATTGGTGGTTTTGGAGCCAAGTGTGCCACACCTTTGAGGTTTTGAGATGATGAGGAGCGGGACAGTATAAACAAACCCTTGGAAAAACCTTCATTTTGCTCTGTTTGTGCTCTATTACAATATGGTGGCTCAGAGCATCAGTGGCCGACAGTGCCCCATCCATGGCCGGCAATGCCTTATTTCTGGTCGGCAAGGCATCTTTTTGGCCAGCAAGGGGCCGGCAACAACCTCCTATGGCCAACAGGCCACTAATGTGATCCTCAGCAGAGATTTGGTAAATTAGAGCATAAAGTTTCTGGAATATGCTCAACCATGCAAACAGAAACTCTCGGAAGCAAAACGGAAGGCTTTTCGGGACAAAAATTGAGCGCATGCATCTTTCACTTCTCGAAGCGGAGCAGTGGCAGCGTAGCTTAATATCTCGCATGCTTAGTTTGTGTACGTTCATTTTAATTAATTAGTTTACTAGTTGATTAAAGTGTTGTAATAGTTAGTAATTAGTTTACTAGTTATTCATTTGATTTGTAATAATTAGTCTGGTCAGCTTAATTAGATTAATTTGATTAGCTTAGCTTAGAGTAGCTTAGCTCTTATTCATTCGGACCCTCCTTCGTGAGGGCATAATGTTGTAATAAGTGTGCGTGCGTGTGTGCATGTCTTCCAACCCCACGTCTTTCTCCCTTTTATTTAATCGCATTTGATGGTTAGATTAGGGACATTTTCAATTAGCATACCTTATACTTGCATGTTTGCATCTATTCATTTGTCTTGTATGCACCAAGGCTCGGCGCATCATTCAAACGGTATTGTAATTTCAATACTTTTTTGAATACGTGTTTCAAAGCATGCTATCAAAGTGTCATGACTCAAACCCGGCCCTATGGGTTTAGCACCGTAACCGGCCAGTAATCCGAGATTACCGAAGGCCTGCTTAACAGTAGTACAGTAAAACAGAGTTCAGGGCCCAGCGGAAGCCAATACAGTAAATAAATAATGTCCATTGAGCTGTGACAGTCTGTATGCCAAAAAGATTTTTCATGCATTTATACATACAAACAGTATAGTCTATACAAAATTTACAGTCACACAGTACAGGGACCTAATCCCTTGATAACAGTACAGTTAGTAGCTGACAGTCTATACAGTAATCCAAACAGTATGGAGACAGACGGGGGAAAAACAAAACACCCCAAAGCCATAGCATGGCAACTCGGAACCTCGCAGTGAGGCACAAAGGCTGGCTTGACAAAACTGGAGTCTAACCCATGCTCCTAGCTCCGATCTGGTGGCTGAGCACCTACATATATATATATATAAATAAACAGTGAGCTAAAGCCCAGTGAATAACATAATGCGTAAAGAGGTTAAGAATGGAATGTCCTTACAGTAATGAAAGCAGTTCATTAAACAATACTTCAGTCTTTCAGTCAAAACAGTTATTCAGTCATATGTGGTACATCCATTAGCATAGCAGTAAACAGTAGGTCTTAAAGACCGAACAGTAATGATGGCCATCAGTCAGTAAACAGTAGTGGTTCCACGAGGGAACCAACAGAGATCTCTGTAACAGTAGCAGTAACAGTATACAACAGTTGCTAAGGATGCCACAATACATTTCAAAATATAAGACATACATTCAACAATTAACAACAATTACTTCAGAAAACAGTTTCGTTAAATAGTCAGAAAACATTCTCAGTTGAACATATCTTTACACAATTGTTACTCACAGAGTTTGGGCTACAGTATGCTAGAGCGTGTCTCCCCAGTCGCCAACCCTACACAGTTCATAGGTTGAACACACACTAAGTTACACAGTTGGGAAAAGATAATAACTTAACC